TATTTCAAAGTTTATGTTGATTTATTTCTAGAATCACACAGCTTATAGTTTAAAGAAGACATCCATGAATGTCTTCCCTTGAACACTTAGGTTGTACTTGAATAGATGATATTATTGAAGTCTATAGATTTTCATCAATTGTGTAATAAGTTTAGAAATATTCTTGGCAAAGTCTGGGCAGAAGGTAAGATCTCAACAAGATTGAGATGCTATGATTATACCACTTTCTGTGCATCAGGAATGCTAAAAGTTATGTTTCTGAAAAATGAAACAAATAGAGTTGATTTTAGGGCTTACTCATAAGGTTGCATTAGGCTGGGGAGATGGCTCAGTGGATAAAATGTTGCCATACAATCATGAGGACCAGAGTTCGGATTCCCAGCACTCATAAAGGCCAATCAGGCATGATGGCCACCTGGAATCTCAGTATTTGAGATGAAGAGAGAGAGGGTTCCTGGAGCAAGATCCCAAGTTAGACTAGCTGAAATTAGTGAGCTAGAGGTCGATCAGGAGACCCTGCCTCAAAAAAAATAAAGTAGATAGTAATTGAGGAAAATATCCAACATCAACTTCAGGTTTCCACATGCATGTGTACACAATGTTTGCATACCCTCCATACATGTGTGCATACATATATTCAAACACACACACACATATGTACATACCACTACATACACATACACAGAAAAGTTAGATGAATTATAAAAATTAGTACTTATAATTATGAAATATATTACAGGATAAGGTATTCCAATATAGTCTAAGACAATTTAAGGTTGTTTTGGAACAAAGATAATTATTCCTGTGTGTATATATTCATAAAACATATATATATATATATGTATAGAGAGAGATTCACCTACATATTCATGAGTAAATAAAATAATATATATATGAATGTGTATACATACAACTGGACCATTGTGCATATAATAATTTATGCTTGGCTATTGAGTGGGGCTCTGTGTAGTAATAGAACCTTACAGTTAATTCCACAGCAGCCTGACTTTCTCCTTATCTTTGTTCATGGCCCTCCTAGTGTTTGGTGTCATGAGATGGAAAATCTAGGAAGCACAACACTCTCTCTGCTGGGGAAAAGTCGGCCAGCTAATGTTGAGTGACATGATGTTGGAATCACTTGAAGTCAATGACTATTTTACCATTCCCTCTTCATATCCGAGCTATTATTTTCATGTTTGGGCCAAAATCAGTGTTGAGTTGCTTCCCATGCCAATCTGAATTCTGATGGTATTATTGCTTATTTCTCGTTCTCATTTTGATTATGCTATCAGATACCTAATGTCATCCTCTTCTGTAACTGCAGCTGCAGTTCCAGAAGTAAGGAGAATGCCCGATTAGCATTGCTTAAAGAAGAGAAAGCACAAGTAAAGATACATTTTAAGAAGATATTTTTATTTGAATACATCATGTCAAGAATTTATATTATTGGAAGCTTAAACTCGTGATTTCTACCAGCAGCTTTGAATGACAGGTTGTTATAGGGAGAGGAGAGGATCAAATGGAGACCCTGAAGTGATAGACCTCATGCTAAATTCTCCTGGAAATTAGCATATGACCTTGAGAAAGAGAAATTATATCAGTTTCAGTCAGCTCATAGGATTTTGTGAAAATGTGGTACAATTATTATAAAACTGTTCTGAAATTTAAAGAGGTAGTCAAATCTAATGTATTGTTATTGCTTAATTTTTTCCTGGAAAAGTATTGCTTTCTGTCAGTGAGCACATTTTACTTTATTTCTGTTGGTTTTAAGTGACATTGGAGTACTTTTGAGAATTCAAAATCTGTTTTAGAAATATTTTAAGGTGTCAGAAGCCTTGTCAACCACCTTTGACATGTCTTTATGGTAAACTGATTTAGAATTTCAAAACTCATGCACACAGTTTTTGTTCAGTCACTATAGTCTCACGAGGTGGCAACTTAGGGCTTCTGCTTAGAGTCCCTTTCTACATAGAAGATGAGATAATTATATAATGCCAAATTTGGAAGAAGGCACTTATGCACAATAGTGATTTGTCAAAATCCAGTTCCCTCTTTCATTTTTGCAAACAATAGCAAATAACAGGTAAGCAAAGAGGAAAGCCTTGTTTTTTTTATTGTTGTTTTGTTTTGTTTTTGTTGTTTTTCTGGTGTTTTTATTTTTTAACATGTGCCTTTCCTTATATAAATAATCCTGCCAAGATCACCCATAGAACCCTTTTGGTGCAAGCCCTTTTCTAGTAAGAGAAACACTTGCCTCTCTCAGACTGTGAACTGAGTATCAGGACACCCATCAGAACCTCTTTTGCTTGAAAATATTTATACATTCAAGTTCTCCCAGGCTAAACTTTTCCCCTAACTCAATTGATTCATATAGAATTTGTGATGAGTTGAAGTAACAGGTATGATGAGGCTAATGGATCCTAATAACCTGGCTTTATAGGAAAATGAGAATTGTCAAGTCTTTAGAGGGCTCCTATGAGTTAAGCCAGTGGAAGCATATTTTAAAATGGTACCCATGATTCGATCAGCACCAAAGTTAGCTGAATCCAGAGTCATATCAAGTTTCTGAAGCAGAGCAAGGTCACGACTTGCAGTGTTTGATTTACTGTTATCTCTTTATTTAGCCATTGAACAAGCCTCTACTGAATTGTCTTCTCATATGTAATGGAAAGTAGTATATAAAAATCATACTTGGAAGAAGATTGAGAGTACTTTCCTTTAAAATGGCATAGATGCAGTCTGAAACAGTCGATTTCACAGATATCACTCTACTCATGAGAGTAGAAGAGGTTAGAGAGTAACGAAGGTGCGAAGTTATAGCTAGATAGGACCAAGAAGTTCTGGTGTGTTACTGTATAGGTAAGAGCAATGCACTATGAATTGAGAAACCTTAAGCAAGTGATTTTGAAATTTTTTACCACAAAGTAATAATAGATGTTTGAGGAGATAGGTTTAATATGATCCAAATGCATATAAGATATGCCATAAAGCAAAATATACATAGCTTTCATGTATTAGTTAAAAATAAATTTTTAAAAAGAACAACACAGAAGAGTTCAAAATAGATGAGGGTTCTTCAGAGAACCAGAGAATAGAGTCAGTCAAGGGAGGTGTTTCTTACCAGGCAAAGAAGTGATACTGGAATTGAAGAGGATGTCAAGGGCTGGTGGCATCATATGATAACTGTACTGGCTCTTAGTTACACTGTCATTTCAACCCCAATGTAGAACTGTTTAAAAAAAGGTGAATTTTGGAGTATTCCAGGATATGTGAAATAAAAAAGCTGTTTGGGTTTGATTTCTTTATTTATAAACCTAGCATAACCTGAGCAGTAGATTTCTTCTGAAAGCTTTCCTGAGGATTCCATCCATGTAACACAATGCATGCAGGCACACCTGTGCAGCAGCCTGCACACATGCCCAGTGGCAGCTGGATGTAGGAACCCATGCAGCCACCATGACTACCACCCCCACGATGCACACAGCTTTGTAAAGATCCCTACGATTTCTCTGTGGTGCTTCAAATTCGAGCAAGATGTTTAGAAAGGAAGAATGTGAGAGCAGGTTTTGTCAGGGCTAGGGAATTCCTGCAAAGCAGTTATACATTCCCTGTTCTTACTGATGGTCACAGACGCAGAACAGTGAAGAGTCAGTTAATAACATGTCACAGGGACACCGTTCTGCACCGGGTTATATTCATGTCTGTAGAAATAGCAATGTCATTTCATCCTCCATTGCCCAGACCCAAATGTCTGCCTGGGAAATGAGAATGACCAGCCTGTACCCTTTGGTCACAGCAGCAGTGGTGAAAGAGAAATGAGAATACTCTGCTAATGGTTTCATGTATGCACTTCCTCCTTGTCCCTGCTGTTCCCGGACAACATCGCCACAGCTTTAGCCCAACGTGCCATTTAGACCAGAGTCTGGGATTGATTTGTGATGAATGTCCTGTTGGGTACACAGGACTACGCTGCGAGAGGTAAGCACGTATTACACTGCCTTGTAAAATGATTTCTAACTTGGGAGTTACAAACCCACAGGCGTGGTCCTCCTCTGCTCTGTTCAAGAAAAGCTACCATGCTCAATGGGGTGAAATAAACTCTCCTATCGCACGTGTCACACAAATGCATTCTATTTATATATATATTTATTCTCTGGAAATTGCTCTATAAATCTTCATCCCCTCATAGGATATCTGCTTAATGTTTTAATCTTAAAGGTTAAGCATTAACCTACTCTCTTTCTGAAGAGTGTTGTTCAAGTAGAAAGTCGTTTTAAGATTTATCTTACTGCCTACCCTCAGCATCATTTATTTTTCATAATTAGCTTTTTGTCCTTACAATGCAGCTTAAATTCATAGTTCATAGTTCAGCAAGTGGCCTATAATTTACTTTGCATATATTTGAAACAGAAACAAACTGCAATTTTTAAATCATGATTTATATCCCCTTCTAATTATTCTTATACCAGTGTTTCACTTTTTGTTGTGTTGCTGGGTAGCAGACCCACAGACATTATATTAGATAATTTACAAAATTATATTACTTATTTAAATATTGTTAAAGAAATGCTTCTTGGGTGTATTCAGTCCCAATTTAACAAATGATAAAAATTTTCCCTTGATGATGATGACAGACTAAACAAGCTCCTTCTGTTTTTCGTACTGAAAGTTTTCCCATTTGTTACCCTTGCTGGGAACTGAGTGGGGCAGAGGAAAGGGGCCATGTAGTACACATGACCTGGCTTCTTTTCCCTTCCCCAAGGGTCACCCTAAGGAATTCTGTTTCTGCCCATCCTTTACCTTCTTGGCAGTGAGCACCTGTTTCAGGCAGGACACATGAAGTCAAGGAGCAGGGGCCAAACACCCAGAGAGATTTTGGCCAGTAGCTGGCAGCCTGTGGACAGCATGCCAATGACAGTTTCCAGAAGCAGTAAATCCTGTTTGTTATTATGGAAGCATCTATAAATGAGTAAAGGTTGAAAGACTTGAAATAAGAAGGATTTATTTACAATTGAGAAAATGAAGACCTTTAATTGTGTATTTTTCAAAAAAGAAGGCATGCATGTATGGTAGTATAATGGGAGAGTGTATTGTTGCCAAGACATATTTACATCAAATGCCTAGTATCCCCCAGCTCACTACAGGCAACCTTTTTTCAGCAGCTGTAAATGACAGCTTCTCTGTCATACAAGTCAGTTGAATCTGCTTCTCTAGGTGAGCAGTGGTTTCTGATGTTTTTATACTGCTTTGCTTTATGCACTGCCCTTTCTAGACGTGTTAGACAATAGTTTTTAAGCATCTACAGTTTAACATACGGAATTTTATTTTGAAAATATTTATTCAACAACTACCATGTCTTAGGTACAAGGCAAAAGATACAAACAGATGCTGTGGTGGTTTAATGAAATGCCTCCCACAGGCTCCAAGTAGTTCAGCACTTTATCCTCAGTGGGTGGCACTGTTTGTGGAGGCTTAGGAGGGGTGGCCTTGATGGAGGAAGCACTTGGGGTGAGTCTTGAGAGTGTATAGCTTGCCCACTTCCAGTCTGTCTCTCTGTGCTTTCTGTGCCTGCTTGAAGATATGAATGCTCAGTTCTCTGCTCTGGCTGCATTCTGTCGCCTCCAGTCCTGCTTGCTCACCATGATGGACTCCAATCCCTCTGGAACTGTAAGCCAAATAAACTCACCCTTCTCTAAGTTGCCTTAGTCATGGTGCTTAGTCACAGCAACAGAAAACATAATTAATACAGATGCATCTTTTCATCTTTTCCCCCAAGGAGCTCACAGCCTTCTTGAATGTGGGTAAGGAGCCTCACTTGTATTTTAGAGAGAAATATAATTGCTAACATCAGCAAAGAAAGATTTAGCTGACAGAAAGCATGGTTCCCCATCTAAAATCTCTACTAATTTCATTCAGCAGATAGCAAGATGCATACACAGTATAGTAAACTGCACATATTCCCTCCATTCAAGCTTGTCAGCCAAAAGTAATCTTCTACTGTTATTATAAGAAGTAATGGGCTATTGTGTTTTCTTAGCCAGAATTTGGATTAAAATTTTCCATGAGTATTTAGTATTTACCATTTCAATGCATTTGTATGAGTCAACAAGTCCAGGAAATGCATCAAAAATACTAAGAAAACCATTTTTTTGATATAAGCATGTTGAAATAGAAAGGGAGGTAAACAAAGGCTGGTTTAAGAGTGAGCTATGGGCTGCACTGAACATTGTGTGATCAAAATTATTCAGTGAAAGACTTGTATGATCACTATATGCACATCACCCATAAAAATCAGCATTTTCCAACTAATATGATATTTTCCATGTTGTCAGTATTCCTGTGACAACAAATTGTACAATTGCCTAAATTTGGGAGATGCCATTAACATGTGAAAGTTCTGGCATTTCTTGTCATGTACAGGGCTAATATGACATGCGGCCTTAAATCTTCTGCCTTTATTATATGGCATGAATGTGTCTCAGACTACAGATCAAGAGGAAAAGAATCCCAGTCTGTGGGAGCTGTGATGACTTAAAAACATGGTCCTGCACAATTAGGGTCTTGGTTCCCTCTCTCTTGCAAGTCTGAATCCAAGTTATAATCAATTCTGAATAACATGGCAGGCATGTGTACAATGACTGGGTGGCTGTAGTTATGAGTGTGTTAGACAAGTTGACTTACAGTGAGGCCAACTAGTCCTGCATAATTCATTCAAGCCTGTTTATGCAGACCTATTTATTCCCCATTCATTCATGTCCTCCAAATTACCTTTCCCTTCATTTATTTTAACTGTCTCTTCTACTGTCTTCCTGCAGTCAGTGGACAAATCATTCAGGAATTGTGCAGTTTCTTTCAGTTAAATCCTGGTATCCACCACCATCTCTATTATCATTCTTCATCTCTTTTCAGCTCCATCCTATTTTTTTATTGGGTTGAAGAATAGATGCCACATTCATAGAAATCACAACTTAAAGTCTAGGAATTTCTATATTTCTGTTTTCTTCCCCATCAAATCCTTTTACTCAAGCATGTGGTCATGTAGTACAACACAGACTTGCTTCTTGAATTGTGGGAATGAAAAAAAACCAAAACAGATAAACTGTAAGTCAAATTTACTGCTGGGAGGTGTACAAGGCATCCAACCACCTCCTTCCATGGTTCTTGCAGTAGCCTGAGGAAAAAATTCTCCAAACCCTGGTTTGAAGAATCTTAAGGAGTTTATTGGACTTGCTAACTGAGCTTGGGGTGCGATTCACTTACAGACACATGGGTGCCCCTCCCTTTCATGGCTGTGTTCCAAAGTCCACACCCAGACATAAATCCTGTGGTTCTGGACAGCCTTACAAAATGGTGAGACCAGCCTTCTGGTTTTCCGAGCTTTTATACTCTTAGCCCCTCCCCTTCAAGCGGCTATGGTCAACTGGTTGGCTGGAAGAGGGAAGGGGCGTGGCTTCTTTACAGAGCGTGGGAAGGAGAGAGGTCCATGGCTTGTCATCACAGGGTCAGGAACAACACACAAACAAAAAAACAAACAAAAACAATGAATGAAATTACAAATGTAGATGTAACAAAATATTGACTGGTGTTCTTTAAGATGCTGAATGCTCATTATAACCTAGAAACAGTCATATAACTGTTTGCTAGTGTCAAAAGGAAATAGAGGCAGGCTGTTGAGGGAAGATGTTGAGTATGGTAATTTGTTGAGATTCTAGGCTTTTATGTTTTTCGAGACAACATTGTAAAGAGCAAAGGGTCCAGAGTGAGCACTGGAACATCAAAAGAAATTAGACAAAGATCAAAAAGCAAATTAAAGACCAATGACATCACCAGACACTAAGAGACTTTTAGTGTACATCTATAGCCTCAGTAAGAAATCATACAACATGAAGACTATGGGGTGCGCAGGGACCTTGGGGCGCCAGCTGCTAGCGTGCCGCTGGTCCCCTGCGTGCACCTGGAAGGCAGCGGGTCCCGCAGCGCGTCTGCTCTGCGTTGCTGGCGGGCCCCTGCTTCTCCGCTGTGAGTCCCTCTGCTACCGGGGCTGGCCCGGTCGAGTTCCGCCCTAATTTCACCCCTGCACTTCCTCGAGATGCAAAATCCACCGGCCACTGGATCACGCAGGAAGGTGCGGGCCGCTAAAGCTGGGTTTCCGTGAGTCGATGACGGAAGGAAAGCCCCCCCCCAAGACTGGATTGTAGGCAATAAGATCGGGACTCAGCTTAGTCCGTGTTACAGCTCTTTATTCAGTGACTCAGCTCGGCTCCAAGTCTTAGTAATCCAGCTTCAGCTCCAGCTCCAATTATTGAGGAAAAACCAGGACACTTTATACCGTGGGGGTGGTAGTAAAAACCTTAGCTGATAGGTACTTTTAGGATGCCCCATTTACATGTGGTGGTAAGCTCCTGCCAGGCTGCCAGACTGCCTGAAAAATCACACAGGAAAGGCTGGCAGTTTCCAGAGCCGGAGGCCATGTTTCTGTGAGGGCTACTTCAAAGGATGAGTCAGGAAGATGCCAGGAAGACACCCAGCTGAAAAAGGAGTCTCTGCATTTGAATCTGAGCCCGTGGGCTTTCCGGACATGGAGAAACTGCTACTTTACACAGCAAGAGTCCCCAACAAAGACATTCACAGATACCATGGCATGCACACTCAGAGGAATATGCAGGAAAACAAGGAAGCTTAATGCAATGCAGGATTCCTTAAACCCACCTCCTCCCAGGCTGGCAAATACTAACTAGTCATTCCTAGGTGAGGAGGAAGAGGCCCAAAGATGATTTTCAGGTTGCATTGAAAATCTGGAAGTTAATTAATTCCAATTGCGTAGTAAATTTACCTATAATTTTACCCATATGATTCATATTAGATAGCAATGCGTTCCTTGTATTATCTTAATTTTGGTTCAAAAATCACATTTAGATATTTCCTGCTTCAGAAATATCTGAATCTGTGGCATCCACTCACCCTCCTTCACGATACTGCCCACAGTGCCTACTCATGTCCGCTTCTTCTTCAGACATTCGGGCTTGGCTACAGATGGACATGAAGTGATAGGAACAACAGAAAGGAGACACTTATTCTTCATTGGTAGTGCTGTTATCAAAATTGTGACGCTGAGGTTTTAAGAGACTGCTCACAGGTGACTGTGCAGTAGGAGGGGGGAATGACTGGCACTTGAATCTAGCACGCAGTTCCTTTCCAAGAGGAGTTTCTCGCAGTAAAATCTTCTGTGTTGTGCTCCGGTGTCCAGGTGGACCCACTGTCCCTGCACTGATTTCCAATTTGGAGACAGGTACCTGTGAGCAGCTTTCTTAGTCTTTGGTGGATATGGGGAATGGAAATAAGAGGTAGTAAGACTACAGCACCATGTCTGAGGTAGCCCCTTTATACTCTAGTCAGTTTCTGAGCCTTTGCTAATACAGTCCTCTCTGCTTGGAAGACTTTCAATCCTTCCAATCTTCCACCCAAGGCTATCCCGTTTTATCGTTAGTATTCAACTCAGACATCTTGAAAGAGTCATTGACTCCTAGTAGAGTAGGCTGCCTTTCCTGTGCTATGATGCTAGCACTCACCTGCCTGTAGTTGTTCTGTGGTTTATGTTTTTAAGTGCATATTTCTTGGACCCAGACAATAGGATAATATGTCTTATTTATGTTGGTGTGGTATAAAACTGATTTGTAGATTTCTTTTTTCTTTGTTTTTGAGGAGCTTGAGGGATGGGGATGTAGGTCACAGATTATAACCAACAACTGCTGAAGAGAATGATGGAACAGAATGAGATAAAAGTCCCATTAGTCCTAGTCTATTTGTTCTCATTGTCCTTTGTCTCCACCTCTGCCATTCATTTTCATTCCTTCCTTCCACTCTCTATAATAATATTGTTTCTAAATTATAAATAGCAGCAACACAGTTACATAAATGCTTGTGCTACCTGAACTCATATTTGCACTTGAAGAGTCTTCTGTCAAACTACTATGACATGATTTGAAAAATTAACAAATGTGAAAAACAACAGGAACTTTAATGTTAAGACATCTATCTTTAACAAAGAATCCTATAAAATATTTTTCAGTGTCCTGATTCTGCCATATATATGAAAGTGGGAAAGGCTGAGATTTCCCATTATAACTAGTTTTTTTGGCGAAGAGCTCTGAAAAGCTGGGAAGGCCTATAGAACTATAAATTTTAACTAAGTTTATTAGATGAAACTAATTTGATCTGATCATAAAATACTATTGTTATTAATAGAAGGAAATGACTAATAGCATGATGTTATCTTACCTTAGGATTGCTTTTTAATTCCTAATGGAAAACATTTTAGGTCTTTATAAAATGTACTCTGTGCATGAAAACGTACACACACACACACACACACACACACACACACACACCCCACACACACACCCCACACCCCAGTCATAAAACTTAAATGTGCTGCATAGAATGGTGTCACTTTCAGCAAAGTGACATATGAATTTTTGTCATGTATATTCACACATTTTCCTTATATGTCCAAAATTTTTAAAAGACAGATGCTGCTTTATTCTGTTTAATTATATTTTCTGCACATACTGAACACTTTTATTATAGGAGAACTTTGGACTTATTAACTGGTATCTATGTGAAAAAAATTCCAGTATGTCGATATATTATGTCATCTTTCCTGAGGATAATATGTCATTTTGAGGGAAGCAAGCTGAAAGTAATAGGTTTTTGCTGGCCATGATAATGATCAGTGTACATACTATTCTAACTGGACAGAAGCACTCTTAAGGTAAACAAAGTGAGATGTGAGGATATGTGGATGTTTTCATAAGCATCAAATAAGGCAGGAAGGATCAGGCTAAAATTCAAGAAAATCATATTACTACTTTATCAAATAATACTCCTGAAGAGATTGTGAAGAAGTTTTATGCACTAACATGCTATTTCAGATTCTATAATGGAAAACTAATAAGTAATTATTTGTAGGTTGAGCTATCCTTCTAAGCTCTGTTTAAACAGCTTTCATAATTTTTAAAATTATTTATTCAATAACCACATAATTAGAAGAAACATTTCATTAACACAGCATTGACATACTCAACAATTTTGAGAGCTAAGATGCATCTCTTTCAAAATTTGCTGTAAATTTTTAGGGTTACAGTTGAATTAATACAGTTATACAATATTGTACTCAGTATAAACTCTATAAGACGTAAAATTGAATGAGGTTTTAACCTTTAAAAGAGATCTCCATTTCATTTTAAAATATACAGCTTCATACAGAAAAACTCATTTTTAATGCAACTAACAGGTGTTTGCACAATAGTCTCTAATCTCTATATATCTGATTATTACTAGTTACAGTCGGTTACCTTCTGAAATCCTTGGCACCTGAGCATGCATATAAAGTCATCAGATAGATTTCAGTGGTAATGTTTTTCACATCTACTAACTAACGTGAAGCAAATTTTTATGCTTCCTCCTCAAATATAACTCATTTTTTAATTAATTGATTTGTGTGTGTGTATTTCACACAGAACATCCCAAACAATCTTATTCATCTATATACCCACAACCCAAGTGGCATTCCCCTCCCCCTGGAGCCCATATACTCTGTCATCTCTGTTACTGTCCACTGTGATGTCGGCGCCCCCAGCTGTTCCCCAGTGCTTGTCCATCCGCTGAGTCTAGACAGCCTATCTAGAGTTCCTTGTTTTAGGAAGATCAACTCTTCCTCATCTAGCAGCAAGCAGTTGCCAATATTCCTTTAGATAAGATTGGGTCGGCTGTTCATTTTCCCAGTTCTATGCTGGTTACTGTCTGTGAGTCTCTTGGGCCAACCTAGTCAACAACTCAAAGCAAAGTGTCTTCTGTCTGGCTTTGTTTCTTGTTATGTAGCCTTTGGCTATACACATGGACTCTTAAAGAATTATATTGATCCCTTTAATCTTTAGCTATACTTTCCTTTTGGGTATTTAAGACTATGCAGTTGGCCCAGATAAACCAATTTATTTTTACTCTTAAGGTTGTTTGAGGATCTGTTTCTCAGGGGTCACATGGGCTTGGGAAAAGTCCCTGGCTCCTTTCTTTTGCCAGTTCCATCTATATGAGGATAAGTCAAAGGTCCTACTCAACCGTAGATGGCTTCACTTGGAAGCATGGATGAAATGTTTCCTCTGTGTTGGCCCTCCTCTTTGTAGACTGGACACTGGTTAAGGTCCATCTTGTGGGGTCTCCATGGCCTCCTGGATCAAGAGAACAAGTGACTCGCCACAGTTACAGGACATTTTGAGAGATTCTCCATAGTCCCCTGGAACTTACTCAACCTTGGAGGGCAAGGGGCAAGAACTATCCTTTAAGTCTCTCTGACCAAATTAGTATAGGCCTCAAAGTATGGCTGTTAAACATCCAAGAAGGTTAGTTCCACAAGTCTGGTACATTTAATTACCATGTGCTATGTAGATAAAGCTTGGGCAAAGACCAAAGGTTCTTAGATAAACCTTGACTAGACATATAATTAAAACTATTGATCTCATTTTAAAAGACTGTGACATCAAATTGAGAACATTATTATCATACCTATAAGTCTATAAAATTTAGAATAATCAAAATATCTGCAATAAATTAATGACTTTGACCCACAATCATGTTATCAATGCATTCTTCTGTAACATTGGCTTTAAACTATTTGTGTTTTAAGTGGTAGAGAACCTCTTGCTAAGCGAGGATTTCCACACCTACATAAAATAGTTACACCAATAATGTACACTATGAAGATAATTATATTATCCTTTAACGATTCTGTTCTGTTTCAGTTTTGAACCTTTTTACAAAATAAGTTTTTTGATAAGATGCCACAGATAACAGAGCTGGACTGGTCATAAACTTTGACCCCTCTGTTTTATTTCTTATTTGACAAGTATAGCCATATTTGTCAATAATACTTTGCTTAATGCAAAGTACAAGGAAACATACCTGAAAGCAGGCATAGCAGAATAGGAGCAGGAGCTTCTGCAAGGATGGAGCTGAGCATCTGTGTCATGGAACAGTATTTCTAAATGACCTTAAACAAGGAAGAGTGCATATTGTAGTTTTTAAATACCTTCTCTGTCACTCCTTATAAATAATGAACTTCTGTTTTCTAAATAATCTGCAAAATTTTGTCTGGTTTGTATTTTTAGGACGACCTAGAGTCTGCTGAAGTGAGTTAGGGGCACAGTTCAGCATCACCTTATGCCATGTTATGATAACTGGCAAGTATTTCTATATAGAATTCTCCAAAAAAGAAGACTTTTCAATGAAATCCAGCCTCTTAATCTACTTGCAAATGTGTACAAACCTTTTATTAATTCAGAGACATAAATAACTTCTACATACATAAATACAGTATTTTCTGAGTCACAATTTCTATTCAATAAATTCTGAATTTGAGCTTGTTTCCTCATAACAAGCTCTTGCTGCAAGAACAACAAGAAAATGTGAACCCTACATATTTGCACAGAAAACAACCAATCAGAGCAGAGACATATGATGTGTTGTACTACAAAGGCTTTGCAGCGTGGACCTGGATTCCTCCAGAGTGCCAGTCACAGATTTCTTATTACGCTTTGGTCTCTTCTTTAGTGCCAATGACAAGATATTTGGGGGGGTTGGGAGGGTTCTGGCTGAAATCTAATTAATAATGGAATTGGCAAGATTTCACATTGCATCTCTATGCTGTAGTTATAGAAAGTTTTTAATCACCCTGCATTTGAGAACAGAGTAAAGGAAAAAGCCATTATCCTGGGAAAGAAATCTGAAAGATATGTAAACATTGCCCTGGGTAGGTTTCCTGAATCCCTCCTAAGGTCTCACTGTTGGAATTTTTACCTTAGGTGTGCAGAAGGCTATTTTGGACAACCTTCTGTACCTGGAGGATCATGTCAGCCATGCCAATGCAATGACAACCTTGACTTCTCCATCCCTGGCAGCTGTGACAGCTTGTCTGGCTCCTGTCTGATATGTAAGCCAGGTACAACAGGCCGGTACTGTGAGCTCTGTGCTGATGGATATTTTGGAGACGCAGTTGATGTAAAGAACTGTCAGCGTAAGTCTTGAACTATTGATGTCCCTGACAGAATTGATGTATGATACCTCAAAGAAGCTGATGAGTTCTTGAGTGGGGATTGGAGACTAGGAAATTATCTGTAATATATGGATGATGAATGCCTCAGCTTAGACATGGAGTCTGCATGTTCCAATATATTTCTTTATACTGATGAAAAGAATAAACCCTTTGAAATTTGTTTTATTGTTAATGTGTTGATTTCTAAGTGGTAGTTCTACTTACATATGCAATGAAGATTGAAAATTAACTTAAGTCTATAATAAGAAAGGAGAATTTGGAAATTATACAGGCCTGTTAGTGTTTTTTTCACTGATATTTACTTAATCATTGGAGTGAATTAAATTTATCTGTCCAAATTATTTCATAGTACCTGTCAGTAGGTGTCAATTTGTTTTGTTTTCATATGTAAATTTTATAGTTTTTATATTTCATAATAGTTGTAAACATCTGTCAATATTTTCAGACACTGGCATCTACTAGTAGAGTGATTAATGCTCATGCTAGAACTAGTCGTCTACTGCTACTCAAGGGCTTCATCCATTTCAGCACAACATATTCCTCCTCTCATTGTTTCCTCCTTAGGTGAATTATTCAGTGTTGCATAATAGTTACAACTGCTCTATCACAGTGATAACACAAAATGCAAATGGGACCTGATGGTGGTACTTCAATGGAATAGGAATTTACACTAGCATCCCAGTGCTTCATTTTGCTGCCACAGTCTTTACGAAGAACAGAGTGTGGAGCCAGCACTACAGTTAATTTCTGATCAGTACATGTTGTAAGAACAGATTTGCAGTGATTCTGGTGGGTCCCAGGACCTGCAAAGTTAGAGATGCCTGTTTCTGCTTTAAGCACCAAAGTCGAAATTTCATTAAGAAATGTTTCTTTCCTAAGAAGTTGAGAAGCTGAGTGTTAGCCTTTTGTCATTTAGGAATGATAATTTATGGAATCAAAACAAATCACTTTCTGGAACAATTGGCATTTGTTAATATCATCAATTGACTTTTTAAACAAAATTTGTAACAAGACCCGAATAACTTTAAGCACTGTGACTCTGGCATTTCTGTAAAATCTCAAGGATCTTGAGTTCTTCTGTTCATACTGATCACCTTGGATTTTTACTTCCTAGCTGCATGACCCTGGGAAAACATTTGACCTCACTGTGACTCAGTTTCCTCGTATCCAAAGGGTCATGAGTTTTCTGAGGGGATTATTGGATATAGCACATATAGGAGACCCATGAGCTCTCTAAGTCTGGAGATGCCCACGATGGTAGTCATGAGCAGTGGTGGCATAGTAATTCTAGGTCTACTTAACCATTTCATGAGGTCTTTTTCAGTTTTCTAAGAACCCCCTCCATGAAGTTGAGGACATTCCACTCATTTTATTATAATAAACTAGGGATCTATAGCCTGAAATCCTAAGAGAACAGAGATGAATGTGGGAATGAAAACATTTGAATCATTACCAGCTTTTTACCACTTGCCGTGGAGTATCGACATAGTTGTGGTTTTTATGGCTCTTCAGCAGATAATATGGTTTAAAGTGTATAAAATATTTTATTATATACTTTATAAGTTTTCATGAATATAATAGATATCAATGTACAGATGGTAAACCCTCAAGTAAAGCAATATCATAATGGGTTGTGAGGCTAAACGCTTGTAATTCTAGCACTCAGGTGTCTGAGTCAGGGGGATCACAGAGTTCTAGGCCAGCCTGGGCTACAACACATACAAAAATGTTTGTGAAAAAACACAATTGCCTCAAAATTTATTTATGAAAATCTTATCACTATAAAGGAACATATTTGTTTTTAAAATTATATTTATTAAGTGTATTCAGACTTCTCCAATAATACCTTTACAAAAACTAACGTTTTTGATATTTTAAACATAATTTTAATTGCCAGCATCTTTATGATAAATTTAACTTTGTAGTCCATACTTTTAAAAAAGGGACTTGGGTAGACTGTTGAGATGGCTCAAGTATTTAGAGTACTTACTGCTCTTACAGAGGACCAAGATTCAGTTCCCAGAACTCGCATGGCAGCTAACCACCATCCTTAACTCCAATTCTAAGGCATCAATGCCCTCTTTTGGCCTTCACAGGCATTTCACAACACGAATGTACTTATATACATGCAGGCAAAACACTAATACACAGAAAGTAAAAATAAATAAATAAAACGTTATAAGGGACTCGGAGATTCTAAATAACTTAAAATTCCAATTTCTTGTACACAAGAAATTTATCTGCAGTTGCAATATGTATAGTAATTCTAATGGCCACATGAATGGGAAATTTTTTATTTATTATTTTTATTTTATATGTATGCATGTATGTAAGTGCACCTGTGTCATGCAATGCCTGCAGAGGTCAGAAAATGGCGTTTGAGTCCCTGGAACTGGAGTTACAGATGAGAATGCTGGGTGCTAGGAATTGAACCCAGGTCCTCTGCAAGAGTAGCCATTGTGCTTACCTGCTGAGTCATCTCTCCAGCCCTATGAATGTGAAAGTTTTATAAAGAAAATCTAGTTTCTCATCTTGTTCTTACGCTTCAGCCATAGACTGTCTTTAGGCTCTTGACTGAGGGAAAGTGTTGGTTACTGGCTAGGCCAGTTTCTCAATGGCTTCAAATTAGCAGACACTGAAGGCCAAACTTTGCTAGAAGCAATTTTTAGAAAATCAGCAAGGGGAAGTAGAACCTGGAGCTGAGGGAGCAGAACAAGAGCATGAGCGGAGGGAGTTGCTATTTATCGTGTATTCAGCAGTTGTGCTCATATTTTCAGAGACATTGTACAACACTTACCAAAGCCGTGTATGAATCAATCCCTATGTCATTCTCCCTCAAGATTTTATTCTGGCGTCAATGCAATTATATGTACCATTAAAAATAAGCTTGTAGAATACCACGTAAGTCATTAATTCCTAGGTCTATTCGTGAGATAAAACAAGCTTTAGACTGATTTATTATATGCTTCAAAATAACTTCAGACAATTTTCCTAACACAAAATGACAAAAGATTATTTAAAACAAGTAAGTTTTCTTTATCTCCAGAGATGGAATATAAGTTGTAAATTAAAAGTGATTTTTAACAGTTATTATGACACATTACTAATAGATTTAAGTAATGGCTATGTCTTCTTATATACTTTTCTAACATAAAATGGAACTATGTTTATTTCAACTCAATAATTTTTGGAGCTTAGCACAAAAACTGTCACAAAGTAAATAATCATAATATTGGAATAAATTAATGTTTTATTAATAACAACTAATACTATGTCAAGAGGACTGTTACTGTTGATAAATTCTCAAAATTATTTCGACCTTTAAGTCAGTATGTATTATTTACAGTGAGACTGCAATAATTACATATTACCCAAGAGTGTCCTTGAAGAAGTAATATGGTACTGGATCTAGAATCAGGGAACTCCAAGTCCCAAGTAGATTTCTGGACTCAGCCATATCGCCTACAAAGCATGTGACCTTGTAGATTTTATTGCTTCTTTGTACTTCAGGATCTCCATTCTCAACATTATGATAATCATGCTGTTCATATTTTCCTAATGTGACATGCCAAGGAATATGCTGCAGCCTTTATGTGAACAAAGTCTACAGAATAGAGATGTAGAAATTAAATAATAGTCCATCTAACAGAGCACTAAGCAAATTAGAAGTCATCTTAGTACTGAATTTGTGTTATCTTTTTATTTAGTGAACCCCATAAAATTAGGAGCATTTTAAACTTAGACTTTCTGAATAAGATGCTCAACCACAGAAGTCTAAGCAAATATCCAAAAATTTAGGAAATATCTAAGACTTGAGATGCTTCTGGTCCCAAAAATTTAAGCTAGGTCTTCTCAGTCTGTGTTTGGATTCTGCAGGACTGTTTACCCAATGGCAACGTTCTCTTGTTTTTGCAGCCTGCCATTGTAACATCAATGGTTCCTTCTCAGAGATTTGTGACACTAGAACTGGGCAGTGTCAATGCAGACCCAACGTGCACGGGAGGCGCTGTGATGAGTGTAAGGTAAGAAGAGGCGACCGGTGCTGTGCTTCCTCCTCAAACTGTTCTCTGGCTTTCAGTGATGGGTTTCATTCACCTTCGTATATTGAGCAGAGGGCTAAGAATTACTTAACTTCTGCAGATGCTATTTCTGTGCTCAGTGAAACATTTTCTCAACTGGCACCAAATTTGCTGTACATTGCGGTTGCTCCATGTTCCTACATCTGAATTTGCATATTTGCTGTAATTTAAGTATTTCAACAAATAACAGAGACTTAATTCTAGTCTGTGGAATGTGAAAAAAAAATCTTTCCTTTACCTTGAGGGGAATTAAAATGCATAGTCCTTTTGCTGTTAGGAAACTACCTCCACCCATAGCTTTGTTATTTAAAAGCCAGTTTTAGTGAATAAGCATTCAACTTAATAAAAGATTACAATGTATTCGTTGAGTTTTGGTGAATTTCATATAGCATATTTTGATAGAATTTAGATCTCCTCCCCATCTGCACTGCTCTACTACGCCCTATTCAATTTCATGTACATATATATCATATATGTGTGTTTCATACTTATAGAGTCAAACTTGTGTCCCAAAATTTGCCCTTCAGTGTGGGTCCATCCACTGGAGCCTGGTAAACCTACCAGAATCTCACCTTTAAATGAGACTGAATCTCCCCCTCCCAGCAGTCATCGGTTGCCAAGATTTCTTCAAATAGGACTGGGGTTTCTTACCCACCTCCCCATATCCATTTAGGAATTTCATCTGTCTTGAACTTATGTGGGACTTGGATGTGCTATCACCATTACTGTGAGTTCATATGAGTAACTGCCCCACATGTCAGGAAAGCATGAATATTACAGGCATAACCAACCACTTTCAATATATTTTAGCCATGTTATTTTGCTAAAATGGAATATTCAGTTATAATATGTTGTTCTCAATCCCTGAGGATATTGATGGGCCTGCTTTGGGTAGGGCAGGCACTTTGAGATTCCTCCAAGAGAGTCAATGGACTTTCAATCCTGTCACATAAATACACTTTATTATTAAGCAGATACAAGTAATTCCCAGATGTCAGACTGGCCTTTATTAGGACATTTCAAAATTTCAAAATATCTGTTTTTATCTCTTGAATAATAACATATGCTTTTTTTGCTTTGTTTTGTTTGTTTGTTTGTTTGTTTGTTTGTTTCTGTTGGTTTTTAAAGCCCACTACATGGTGGGACCCAGCGAAGCGATTCTGTAAGCTGTGTGACTGCAGTCCCCTGGGCTCTGTGTCACTGCAGTGTGATGTGACAGGAAGATGTGTCTGTAAGTCAGGCTTCCTAGGGAAACAGTGCGACCTCAGCAGGCAGGTGCACCATCAGGAGGAGCAGCCGTGGACAGCACAACGGGTGCTGGGGTCTCCTCGGAGGTGGGGTTCCAGCAGCTCCAGCGGGTGCCCTCGGGGGGCCTATCGGGCCCCAGCTCTGGTAATCCCACAGCTCTGCATGGTTCAGCTCGTGTGGGCATGCTGCATTCCGTGTGCTACAGCTGAAGCTCCGTTGGAGCCTTTTACCAAATAACAGTCACTAGGAGTGCAAATTGCAAATATAGACGTTAGACAGTGCCTGACTAAAACCTGACCTTTTTAAAAATAGCTGCCCTTAAGCTTTTACAATTATATTCAAGTGCGTGAATTTCCATTTAGCATGGCTAGGAACAAACCAAATAACAATTTAGTTGAGGGGAATGCATGGTATCATTTGGAGAAAACCCTTGAAAGGAAGAAAGGAAATACAACAAATTAAGTGACTTCCCTTGGAAAATTAGAAACACTGATGCAACATTCATCTGACATTTCATCACAACTAAGATTTTGATAACAAGAGATAAGTTCTGTCACTGTAGATTCAGGGACTGTGGGGAATGGAGGGTTAGGAGTAGGGGAGACTGAAATAAAAAATAGAGAGGAAGAGAAAGAAAAGAATCATGATTTTATCTCCTGGAATATTATCTTACATTTTAAGGAAACAAATTCTGATACGAAACAATCTCAGGGGCTGGAGAGATGGCTCAGTGGTTAAGAGTACTGACTGCTCTTGCAGAGGACCCAGGTTCGATTCTCAGCACCCACATAGCAGCTACAAATTGTCCTTAACTCCAGTTCCAGGGGAATTGGAAGCCCTCTTCTGACCATGGCATTGCACGCCATGGTGCACCTACATACCTGCAGGCAACACGCTCATACACATAAAATAAAAACAATGAAATATTTTTTTAAAAAAGAAAGAAACAGATCAAATCCCAGCCTTGTGGCTTCCTGGCTGCATGTTCCTTGAAAATTTCTATGATTTATCTTCTTTGTGTGTAGAAGGCACTTCATAAAGTTTGTGTCTGCTGAGATATTCCAAAGAGTAAATGCTGAAAGATTTTGGAGCCCCCGTATGGTGGATCGAGGCTAGTCTGGAGCATGTGATGTGAGGTCCTGTGATTCTGTTACACACCCAAAAAATTGCAAGAAAACACCTGTATATGTGAGATGAAGGAAAAGAACATAGCTTTTAATTTTTGCTGCAATGGAGTTCTGACCTCTAAGGAAAGCAGGATAGGGAGGAATCTATTAGACAAAGCTCCACTGGATGTATTATGCACAAATCTAAAATGACAATAAATTTATGGGAAGGTCTCAAGTTAAATCTGTCCATTTGCAGAGTTCTTAATTTGTCAGGTACCTTGCAGTACCTTACTATAATCTTCCATTGACTGAGAGAATCCTGGAGTGATCTTAATTCAGTCAGTTTACTATGTTGTATAAAAATAAAGTTACACTGGCTGACACAGAAAAATGTATTTCTTAAATTTTTAAAATAAGGAAGTTTGAGGTCAACACCCTGGCCAGTCCCTGTGGTGATGTCCCACCTCCCCCAGGTCGCTCACTTTCTCACAGCAACTTCACAGGGTGGAGAAATGTTGGGGACTCTCTTCAATAAGTGCACCAGCCTTCTTCATAAGTCATGAATGATTTTCAAAAGGCTCCTGATTCCATCACCATGGAGGTTAGATTTCAAAGCATATGAAATTGGAATTGACATAAACTCTAAAACACCACTAAGCTCCTTTGGTGGACTCGGGAGAGCAGAAGATGAAGGCTGTGAGGCGTCAACATTCTGTAACGCAGATTCTCCTGTGTGGAGATCGTCTCTGCAGTCTCAGCACGTTTCAGGGTAGTAGTGAGAATAGTGTATAAGGCACTGAAGTGGGGCCATCATGATGACTATCAGGTGTTAATCCTACTAATACTGTTAGGAAATGAAGAAATCTTTAAAGTGTATTTTTTAACCAATTAAATAAGTCTAAAATAAAAAAAAAATAGGGATAGTAATTGATCAAAATATCCCTAAAGCATATGTCTAAAAGAGAATCACCCCCAGACATACCCTTTCATAGCCATTCCACAAGACTATTTTGTCCTGAATTTCTTCTTCCACTAAAGTAGTATGAACATTAAGAGCAGACGTAGAAGCCAGGGTGACTGATTTGGGATCCTGACTCTATGGTTGATGACTTTAGACAACTTGGTTCACTTTTGTATGCCTGTTTCACCACTATGTTTAAAATGTGGTGACAATTATGGCTTTCTGCCAGGGTTGTTCTGAGAGTTCATATTTATTTGTTAAGGGTTGGGAAATAGTGCTTGGCACATAGGAAGTGACATGCGAGTGCTGGGTTTTATTACCACCCCAAATAAGAATTATTGATGGAAGCCATCCAACTTCCTGTTCAGACTGGACTACAAACCTTTCTTGTATTTGCATTTCCTTGTAATCTCAGTAATCAAATATTAGTGTTTTCTCTTTACATTTCTTTACTAGGAAAGTTTTGCTTGGCTTTTAGAATAGATTTTTGAGTACCAAATATGTTAAAATTTTATTAATGAAGTTTGGTCACTTTATTTTGGAATAATTTAGCCTTTAAAATTACATTATATAGCCTGGCGTGGTGGCGCACGCTTTTAATCCCAGCACTTGGGAGGCAGAGGCAAGCAGATCTCTGTGAGTTCAAGGCCAGCCTGGTCTTCATAGTGAGTTCCAGGACAGCTGGGGCTACAGGGAGACCGTGTCTCAATAAGACCAAA